TATAAAACTTCTGCTGAAAGGAAAAATAATAGCATTATCAAGATTTCTAATTAATAGCTGTATAATGAGACAAAAAAATCGATTTGATTTATTAGATTGTCTAGTTGATATTTTTTCTAAAGCGAAATAAACCAATTACTTTTTTCTTCTTTTTGAATTTAAATGTCTGATTCTAAGAATTATTATATCTTTAGATATAGAATGTAATGTCTAACAGATAAAAAACCGATCAAATATGCGGACCCAATGCATAAACAATAAATTAACTATAATTATTATATTTGTTCAAGAACCTTAAAGTTTAAAATTATTATGTCGGCAGTCATTCGCACCTCGTAAACATTGGATTAAGCATAAATTTATTCTGAAAGCTAAGACGGAATTGTTTAATTTCAAAACATTTATTACTCAGATAAATATTTTTGATATATTATAATACCATATTTATTTTGAAACGACATAATATATTTAAATTTGTTTATTTTACAAGGTTAGGTATTTTTAAAATAATTATTTTTCTTAGTTAAAATAGTGCAACATTTTTATAAATTCGCCATACAGGGTGGCCCATCGAAAACGTTCCGCAAGGCCTAACGGCCAGGGTCAATTTTGTTTGTGAGGGGGACAACTTTTGCCCCAAATGATTGCAAAATCTTCAACCCTCTAAGCGGGGGTATCATCCCCCAATTTTTTTCAAATGGGAAGGGGGGTCAAGTGGTACCGCAATGAAAAGGGCTGTCTATTCTCTATATGTTCCCTCTTCGTTTTTGAAAATCGGTCGAGTCCTTGAGAAAATATGAAGGATTGAAATTTGGAAAGTTTATTTAAACATTTATCAGGGTAAATGATAAGGATAAATTCCTTCGACCAATTTGCTGTTTTTTTTTTATTATTTCTAGATGTTTACGCATTTTTTCACTTGCCACAAGGTTGAACGATCAGGTTAGGTAGAGTGTACTTTCTTTTTGAACCGTGTAGTTAATCGGCACAACTTTCGGTACTGGGCTGAGGTCAACCCCAGGGTTTTTCACGAGGTGCACACACAAAACCTTCAGAAATTGAAAGTGTGGGCTGGTATTTTTAGAAATTCTATTGTGAGTCCTTTTTTTCTTCCTGGAAATCTAACAGGTGATATGTACTTGGATTTACTGGAAAATACCATCGACCCAGCCCCAACTGACATCATAGAGAACAATCCTGGATACGTTGAACTAATATTTCAACAAGACGGTGCACCTCCACATTACTCTCAAAATGTGCGTAGTTATTTAAACAATAACTTTCCCGTTCGGTGGATAAGACGAAGGGATGCAATTGAGTAGCCTCCCCGGTCACCCGACTTGACTCCTTTAGACTTTTTTCTATGGGAACACATAAAAAGTAAAGTGTATAGCACTCCACCCGCCTCATTAAAAGAATTACCGAAATTTAATATTCAAACAAATAAATAAAATCAAACCGTGTACAAAATAAATAAAATTGTAAATGGACTTAAGGAGAAAAATTTTTGCGGCTTTCTTTTTGCTTTTTGTTGTTTTTGTTTTTCACATTGTGCGATAATATGGATATCTAGTCTTTTTATCTTTTTATTATCTGTTTTGGTATCTTCTTCTCTTCTCCAATTTTGATATTGTCTTCGTTTGAAGCAATTGAGTGAATCAAGAAAGGCGACCATATGTTTCCCCGATCCGTTCTTCTTTTATATTTATAAACCATCTGCAATTAAAAGAATTGAATGTCTTATTGGGCTTACCAAATATACCACAAGGTGTCTTGTCAATGCATATAAACCAGATATTGAGGAGGTACCATTTAAGGGTCAGTGTCCTATTAGGCGACTTTTCCCTATGTCTAATAATAAAATATAATCAGTTAATTGTTCCTTAAGTCTCTTTCCTTATTCTATTTCGTTTTATATTTTCACAAGGAACTTTACAGAAAATTCACCGTATCGCAGAATTATAATAAATTTAAATACACCATCCTTATAAGTAGAAATTTCATGTAAATTAGATTTTATATAATAATTTTTACTTTTTTACCTGAACTAATAAAATTAATGCTACAGTTTTATTTACCGTTATTTTAATAGTATATTTTAGAACACTCTAATAATATTAATATTAAAATAAACTACTAGAACAAAAACAAAACTTAAGTTTTGTTAAAATGGACCTAATGATAAAAGCATGTATGGTATAGATTTTCCCATTTGCTCAAAACTTTATTTCGAGTTTCTTATATATTTATAAGCATATCCTTATAGTTATATTCCTTAATTTGTTTTAAATGTAAATTCCAGTTATACAATTTTAACTGTATTCTTTTATTAGAGTACCTTTTAGCTTAGGATGTTAAGGTATGATCCGTTGGTTTTCACATTTACATTTCTTCCGAGATTTGAAAATCAAATCATCATGACTTCCATATGCTTTTATAGCACGCCATTATCTTTTATTAGCTAACTGAATATACTTATACGTATAGTAGTTAGCTTAAGCGTTTATAACGGCTTTATTTATTTCCGAAAGACTGGCGCCTCCGTCATAATATTAAATAAACATAAAAATAGCTTAAAAATTTGCATAAAGTTAGTACTTTTATCCGGATCGGTCTAAAAGTGAAAAATAATATTTAATTATGAAAATTATATCCGTTGTTGTATTATCTGACTCTAGAGAACTACAATATCTAGATTGGAGATTTTTTGTACATCGTTGTTTCACAATGAGGTATATCGATTAAAAATATTTTCAATATGGCGGCACTTCCGGAAATACAAGGGAAATACCGAAAGTTGACAGCAAGTTTCTTGCTTCAAAAGGGTATCCCCATTTTTTATTATACAGGGTTGTTCACCACATACGACACGGAGTATTGCAGCTAAACGATGAAATTTTTACAAATTGTAAGTTTTGGGTTCGATGAAGGACTATTAGAGGTACAATTTAAAAATAATTTTACAAGATACAGAGTGTCCCAAATAAGTAAAAAATATCAAAGTTGTATTTTTTTAAACGGAACACCCTGTATATTATTACATTTTAAGTTTCTACGATCTATTTCAACCTTTGAATAAAAAGATTAAGAAAGGAGCACAGGGCCGGCGGAAAGGAAATATTGAGACCGGGCGAGTACCCTATCTGCCCCCCCCCCCTAATAGTTATTACAACTCTCTCTTTTCTTCAATACTATACTTTAACTACAACTAAGCATATTTATGCTACTTTAACAATAAATTTTCACTGAAAGATACTTCAAAATTATTCTCTTTTTATTTATTATATAACATAAATTAGGCTTGATTAATGCTCGGATTAATGTATTCAATTGTTTTTGGTCACTTCCTGTTCCACCCGGAAATAACTAAAACTTTTGATTTTTAAATGGCACTTTCGGTAAATTTCTACTTTATTCGATAGAAAATGACATTCTGTGTAGAATGGCATATCATATGACCACTTTTGACATTTTTGTTTAAAAAAACCGTATTTTAAATTTCAATCAACAGTGTGATGTCTGTGTTAAAAAAATAATTCATTAATTTAAACAAAGAACCATAGAAAAATAGATTTGGTGGTCTAATGTTTTTCGTCTTGTTCTGGCCGACTAAAAGATGCTCAAAACGCATTTTTTTAATCATATCTCAATTTTATCAAATGGAACAAGGATGGCTCATTAGCATATTTGGAAAAAGCATATTTTTAAGGATAATTTGATACTTGGTATATCTAGTCAAATTGTTACAAATTGTTCGCCATTATGAACCGCATGTAACAGTTTCAAATAAACCATATTCAAAAATTTCAAAAGTTGACATATGCTATGTCATTCTATTCAAAGTGTCATTTTCTATCGCATAAAATAGAAATATATCGAGGGTGCCATTTAAAAATCAAAAGTTGTGGTAATTTCCGTAATAATTTAATAAAATCAAACAGGAAGTGCCCAAAAACAATTGAATACGTCAATTAAGCCTAATTTATGTCGTATACTACCATACCAAATCTCGTCTTTTCATCTGATAAAATAAATAAGTCATAGAGGTGGGCCACTTTTGAGACGCACCCGGTATATAGAGTTATAAGAAATAGAATTCCAACTTGGCAGTCTCGTGATCTTTGAAAACATTAGTATTTAGTTGCAAGCAATTGCATTATTTTTCTGTAAGAATTTTTTTCCTTTCTTTTTCACAATCAATTATTTCGTGCAGAATCAATATATGCTCAGACAGTTTGGTCGGCTTTGAGATGCATTTCTTTGTGAGGAATTGTTTCTGTGATTCCTCTAATGAGAAAATTTTACGATTCTGCTACCATTTTCAGTGTATTATTACATAGTCAATCCGGAACAATCCAAATCACCAAAAGATTGATATCTTTCCCACTACTCTTAATAAGTTAATTTAATTAATGAGGCAAACTTATAAGTTTTTTTTGATAATAAGGATTTCGGGATCCTCTTCAGCTTCTTGCGAATGAATATTTGCCTGATATAATTTTAGGGGGTATATTAGCCATTAATAACAAATAAAGGATGTGGGTAGTAGAAAAAGTTGTGGGTAAAGAAAAAGAAAAAGACAAATCCACAAAATTTCAAATCAAATTCAAATGTGTCAAATGAATCGTCAAACAGAACTGTCAAGGATCCCCACCCTAGAGTCCTTTTTCCGCCCACCATGCATGAATATATGGATAGCATTATGCTCCTTCTTTATAAAAAGATTTCAACAATTAAATTGTTTGTGTGTCATATAATATTGGCCGCTGTCATGGAACCGAGGGATTAAAAATTATGATAAATGATTTTTTTCAAACTAAAACAGTTTATGTTAGATATAGAGTGTTTTGGATATCAAAATTCATAAAATTTTACAGAGAATTTATATTTAAATGGGGGTTTAAATTTTTAAATGGGGGTACCCCCTCTCTGTATCCGCCACTGGAAGTTAATGAAAGGATATTAATAATATAAAACTAAATATATTAAACACTGAAATATATCTATCATAAAAACTTTGAACGATAAAAATTACAAATTTCTTTATCAGTTTCTTCATCACCTGTTAATGGAATGGTTTCCATAAACTTGATAAATTCTTTACTATCCGAATCAAGAAATATCTCATACTTTTTAACATATTTAATATTATTTTCATCATCCACATGATCAACGACACTTTTTTGAATTATTGTAGCTTCCTCTTGTTTTTTCACTACTTGTTGTTCTTCACACCGTAGGGCAGTAAGAGTATTATTATTGTTTTCTTCATCCAAATGATAAATAATATCTTCCTGAGATTTAGATTCATCTTTTATATTATCTAAATCTTTTTCATCACAGTGTGGTGAAGTTAATAGGTACTGAATATTATCGAAAGTTACATTATCTCCTTCATCAAATTCATCTAGGAGCACCTTAACAGTATGTTCACTCTTATCGTACATTGACGCACCTCTTTTTTCTATAATTCTGTTTTTCCTGTCAGTCTCATAAACATCTAAATTATACTGATCTATGTTATTACACTGTGTATATGCCGGAAGTGTAACTGAATCATTTCTAGGACAGCTGCAATCTTCATGATCATCATGAGCTGCACTGACAACTGTTTTGGTAAAGCCATAATTTTCAGGGACATCACACTTATTGCACTTGCAGGTTTTGAAATCAGTTGCATATATTTTATCATAGGCATTATCACTGGTTACTAAATGATGTTTCTTTATATTTGGTTTAATATTTTCTAGTTCATAACAATCATTACAAGTATTTTCGGAACGAGAATGATTGTAAACTCTTTGGTTCTTTTGATAAAAACAATTACATTGAGGTAAACTCTTTGAAAAATCACTTTTATAGTTACAATTTAAATCCAAGGCACATGCATCATCTGTTGAAGTGTGTTTATTTTTATACGTATAGAGGCACTGATTTGAACTACAGCTGCATAATGTTTTTTCATTGAAGCAAGAGTTGACAGTCGTATATTGATGAAGCATAGGGTTCAGACTATGTACTGTATCACTGTAATTCACAGGAATACTTCTTACAGATTTATTATTTGTATTATTCCAATTTAAGTTATAATCATTGCAGTTATACTCGTAGTGTGAAGAATTAAAACAATGTTGCCTCTCGTAATGACCATTACTGATATTTTCAGCGCTATAATTATCCTTGTGAGGGTTTGAATGATGTTCATCTAAAATTAGAATATCTGGTTCCTGAAAATTACTTTTTTCATTAAGTTTTGTTTTCGCTTTATTTAGTCCAAACTCTAACTGTATGGTTTCATTTTTCAGTTCCTTTAATCCCAGAATACAACGTTTGTAGGTTTTTTGTTGATACTCAAGATCTTTGGCTAAAATATTATTTATAATATCAAGTTGACCATAATAAAATATGAATTAATACACACTTAATAAAAGTCTTTCATTTATGTCTGCTTTTTCCATTCTTGTTTTTATGTAATTTATATTACTCTGGCATTCTTCTATAGTTTCCGACAATACTTTAGCTTTTTTTAGAGCGGATGAAAGCATATTTTCGTAATACAAAATTTCTTTGCTATTGTTTTCGGTACTATATTTTCTGGCTGAATAATTTTCTGATAATATTTCTGTTTCTAGACCTTTCCTACTTTCTACTGCTTTGGAGAATTCTACATTTGGTAAATCTACAAAATTAAATGATTTGTTTATTTAGTGTTAATAAATCAATAATATTTTACCGTCATCCAATTTAGTTTTTTCCTTTGTACTATTGATTTCTTTTTCTAAGAGTTTTATTTTTTTCCTCATAAGCTGCATGCAATATCCAATTAATTTTCTTTCAAAGTTAAAATCTGGATTACTGCTGGTTATAAAGGTATCTACTAGATTTTCACATTCCATTTTTTCATCATCTTTAATATTTTTCTCGTTCTAAAAATAAAACATATTTAATGTCTTTTATGTTGAGACAAATTGGTAGGAAGAATATATCTAAATAATTTACCAAGTTAATATATTTGGAAGAATTTTTCCTCAACTGTCGCTTTAATTCTTCAATTTCATTTCTCAGCAGTACAATTTCTTGATAAGGATCTTCAATTTCGTTTATAAATGGTTCTGTTTTTATCATTGAAACCCTCTGTGCAAATTTACAGGTACTTATTGACTCCTATAAGAATCGTTATTATTATCATTTATGAACTTTTACGAAGACACGCGTTATATACTTGAATATTTTTGGAAGCAAGGGACAGGGTTGCCAACATAACTGTTAAACAGTTTCCAGCTAACGAATCTTTCAATACAAAAGTCATGACGCTGTTTCTGTAAGGAATATGGGCCCTTTTCGATTGTGAAAGTGCCAGAATCACTTGCTGAAGAAAATGTAAAGATTTATTGATATGCTTGGCTTCAGTTAGTATGGCTCCTGTAATTTTTGATTTATAAACCCTTTCAGACCTATAAAAAGAAAAAAACAGTTTTTATTAAAAGCTCATATAGTAGATGTGGGCAATGATTGAACAAGTCGTTCATTTGAACGAATATCAAAAATAATTGGTGGGATTTGATTCACCTCTTAAGGTGCGTCCAGACCTGACGATTCGAGAGCGAGCAAGATATTCCAAATTCGGTAAGTGTGGACGTGTCTCGTTGTAGAGAGTTGATGAATAAAATACGACGAACCAAATACCATATTAAAAATACAAAAATGTATTACTGTATGCGTTATTATTTGGTCATTGTTTGTTATATTCAATTACAATTTAATATGTCATCGGGTCAATTTAATATGTGTCCTTTCACTATGATCCAACTCGCTTGTCTCGTGGCAGACTTGCCTCAAAAAATGGATAGAAGACGTCTCGCTCTCGTCCTGCTCTTGTCTTGCTCTTGCCTCGCTCTTGTCTCGTCAGATCTGGACACACCTTTAGAATACTGTTCGTTCAATTGAATCGGGACCAGCACGGATCCATAAAATTACAGCGAGTCTTAAAAAAGAGTCATAAGAATTGAATCGGATCACAATGCGTTTAGTAGTTTTGGGATTAGTTTACACTTCATAACAATCAGTAATATATATCTGGCCGAAACGTTGTGTATAAATTAAAATAAATAAGTACTATGGAAGGCCGATTCAAATTTCATTCATAGATTTTAAAATATCGTACCCTGCCAAATCAACAAAGTTCAGCTTGGAGTGCCTGAGTTTCTGTGATTCTGTCTGTCTCGAAGACAAGTACATGGTGAATATACAATGTGACCTCGATGAATATTCATTTAAGGGTGTCTCAGCAATAGCTCTTAAAGTAAAAAATTAATTAAAAATATCAATAAGGTAGATTAATTATATAGCAACCTATTGGTTTCTCCTAAAAATAAGAGTCTCATGGCCTCTTCTTGAGTTGCCACTGTTAACACACTCACGTTTCGCATATGAGGTTCTCCTTTTTTGTCTTCGAAAATTACAACTCTTCTAAATTTCGCAAGGAAATTGAGACATATAATATCAAAAACTTTTATTAGACTAAAAAGGACTTACGGTAATTCTTCTAGCTTTGCGGCTACCTTGCATTGTTTGGGATTAAGTAGATCATAGCAAATCTCGTTGTATATTTCTATGTACGAGATGTACGTAGTTGGTTTATCTTGAGTCTTGTAAAGTATAATTACTAAATTAGAAATTAGTATGCATTGAAATTAGTGTTTTATTTTGCCAAAAATGTTTATTTAAAAATAATTATATAAACTAATAAAGCTAAATATACAGATTATACAGCTGAAACTTTTGATTTTGTTTAGGTTTTTTTAGTTGGTTGTTTTATTGTTTATTAATTTTGTTTTAATGTTTATTAATTTTGTTTTATTATATATTGTTTATTAATTTCACTTTGTATTTTTACATAATTATTTATAAATTTCGAACAGTTTTTTAAGTTAACGCAAAAAGGCATAAAATATTGTTTCGAAGTTCGATAGGCACATAAAATTTTTTATTTCAGAAAAAAGGTTGCACCAGTGCTGTCCTGATTTTCTAAATTCAAAAGGTGGCAACCCTGGTTAGTTTTCAGTTTTCCGTTTTAACTGACAGACAAAACTTTATGTAGGGATGCGGGGGGCACGTTGTTACACGGGTAAGAAGTTACACGCTTTTTTTACCAAGATTTTAAACTCTTTGATGGACATAAGTGGACTCATTTGTTTTCTTATAACATTGTGCATTACATAAAAATGATCAGTGACTCGCCAAGCGCCAAGCTGCTAAGTTGTGTGCATGTGTCTCGATTTGAACCAAGTAAGTAAACAAATCCTTTACGAAATTTTTGATTCCTGATGTCTATACTTTTTATTTTCTCAAAAATGTTTACCTTGTGAACGTTCAAATATATCTACCTTTAATTTGCAATGCTGTGTTCTTCTACTATCGATATCCATTAATGCTGACTTCAATTTATATTTAAAAACGTGCCATGGGGCAGGTAGTTACAATATTTTGGGGTAAGTTGTTACATGTAACATCTTACCCCAAAAAATTACCATGCCTTTTATTGCACCGTTCATCTTCATATTTTAAAAACTCTAAATATTCTTTGTTGTAGAGAAACTATAAAAGAAAAACAGAAAGAGGTACAACTAGTCAAGAAGTTTATGAATCGCAAGAAGTACTGCAGAATAAATCGAGCATTCGTAAAGGAAGCGAAATGTTTATTTTGTGTCGGACGTCCTTATCCAGGTATATCAGAAAAAACAAAACAACGAAAGTTGTTCATTGGGTTACATTAAACCTAGATTGGTATTCTCACAAGAAACAGAACATAAATTAGCTTCTTATCTACTCAAAATTTCAGAAATATGTTTTGGTTTACTACCAACAGAAGTTCGAAAACTAGCTTACCAATATGCTGTAAAACTCGAATTAACAAATACAAAGCAATTCCCCCCAGCTGGCTTAGAACTAATATGGCTGGGCCGGACTGGTTTAAAAGTTTTATGGGTAGAAATACTCGACTATCTCTACGAACACCAGAAGCTACATCTTTGACTAGAGCAACGTGGTTCAACAGAACTAACGTTAAAGATTTTTTTGACAAACAGCAAGGCTTACTCTAAAAATATGAATTCACTGCTTCGCGCATATGGAACGTTGACGAAACAAGTGACACAATCGGTACAGAAGCCTAAAAAATAGTTACTGCCCGTGGTCAAAAACAGGTCGGTGTGATCACATCTGCCGAAAAAGGAACACTTATAACACTTGCATGTGCCATAAATGCTGCTGGAAATTCAGTTCCGCCGATGTTCGTATTTCCCAGAATGAATTTTCCCAGAGACACGGTCTTTTTCTCCACATATCTTTTTCTCCATGCTGTAGATATTATAATTACTCATAAATGTTAAAAGACTGTTTAAAGTGATCTCTTCTGTTTATAACGCTTTGAAATAATAAAAAAAATTCGTATTATTGATGATTTTGTTTATTTATCTACCATAACATCGTGCCCCGAAGATGTAACAACTAGCCCCAAAAAGGGGGTAAGTTGTTACAATCGACGTCTTTGGTTAAATTGTTCTTTGTGAAAAAATTACATAAATTTTAGTAACTTTTTAATCATATTTTAAAAGCTGAATAGACATACTAACGATAAAATCAATCAAATGTATAAATTATATAATAGCTTTTGTCAAATTGACAATTCTCTAAAATTTGTAACAACATGCCCCCCGCTCCCCTAGATGGAGCTTTACCGATTTTGAATATTTCTGTCCCCGATTTTTTTAAATGTACCTGTTCAATATTAGAAAAAATATATTCCAAGCACCGAGGTATTATTCCTCTGTATTTATACTTCTTTGAAGACCCCGTCATTGAATATGTTTTACCACTTCCAGTCTAAAAAATAAAATATTTTTTTATACATTCCTTGAACTTTTAGATTGACTTTCACCTGTCCGTAAGCAAATATAGTACCATTAAAACCCTGCAAGAAACTATTTTATTCAATTATTTGGTAATAAAATATAGAAGTACGAAGTTTTTTTATCATTACCTATCTACTACAGGTCTGGCCATAAATTCAAACACCTCATCTTGATTAGAGTATTGATCAAAGATCTTATTAAATCTGAAAGTAACGAGCGTCGTTTTGGGTTTAAAACGTTTGACCTTATTTTATGTCTTACCTAAATCTTGAACCATCACGCTTTAATGAACTGTTATAAATAAATATGTCACTGTTGGCGCCTTCTGTATGTTCTGTAATTTCGTAACGCTAAAAGGTAATAAATACTGCAATAATATGTGTTTTAAGTTTATGTAATAAACAGATATTACTTTAGTTCTATCATCGTTTTGTTTTTTAACTCGGGCAAATACTTTTATTGTATTAGTGACCATTTCAATTTGTCAGAATGACAAAGTTAAAGAGCTGTCGGTTTTAAAACTGTTTATTTGTCACGTGTCACGTTGGCATTAACCCTTCATACACTAGAATATTTTGGTCTGCGGATTGGGCATGCTGACTTGGACTGCGGATTTAGTCCGCGGACTTGGACTCTCACGTACCAAAACTTTCGTATTTTGGTTTGCGAATTTCGCCTGCCCATTAGATCGTTTGGGACAAAATTCGACGTTATGTAGCAATTTTTGAATAGGTAAAGGAATATTAGAGGAAGAATTTATAGAGGAAGGCGGGCCTTACACAAGAGTACACGGATTTTATTCTTCGGTCGATTTTTTAAATTTTTTAGGTAAAAAAGATAATATCTTCATAACATGGCAACATATATAGTAGATTAAGTTTATAAGAATGAAAGTCTGAAAAAGATCCAGTGGTTCTCAAAATTTAAACAAGAAATCATTTTTTATGAAATTTTCAAAGTAAAATATTTCAGTTATTTAGGACTTATTTAAAAAACGGTAGAGAGAAAATTTTCTTTTATCGAAAACTACCAGCCCTGAAAATATTTGCATGTTTTTAAGACTCACCCTATACATTTTAAACTCTATGCCCCTGTACAGTAAATTTTAGTACAAACTACGAGTATTTTTGACATTTTGGTGAAGGGAATATTCGTAAAAGCAAAATAATTTATTATATTGAAAAGACAGATAATGGTGGATGCGCCAGGTAACTTCATATTAACTGTGACATGATATATTATAATGTGTTGTCTGGGATATTAATAAGATTATTAAATAAAGTTCTATGTGGGAAATCCTTCAGAATCGTTTGTTTTTATTTAATAAATTGTTTTATTTAAACATGTACCTAAAGAAATGAGCTCATTATTATGTATTCGCAAAATTGGTATCTATTATCTTTGGTATTAATTTATATGTATATGTAGATGTTGGAAATAATGAAACAAAATGTTACCTAATTCCATAAAATCATTGAAGCAATTAATGCCAAATATATCAGTCAATACAAATTTAATTTTTGAATTCCTTACAAAATATAATTTTAATATTATTTCATTTCGCATTTTTTGAGTCTCCGAGCGACATACACATATGTACAGGGTGGGTCAAATTCGACGCTTTTAAATGGAAACACCCTTTTCTATAGGAGATAGACGAAAACTAATATCGGTGTCTAGAGCTCAATTTTCATCAAAAACATGATGGTGAAAACCGCACATCAATATCTGTTACCTTTCGGAGTTACGGGGTGTTTTTCGAAAATGTGCATTTTTAACAAATCGCTGTAACTTTTTTGCTATGGAAAATTTTGTATTTCTATGAAAACATTTCCAAAGCACCTTTTTACGTAGAATTTAATGGTTTAAATATAATTTTTTTAAAATTAATAATTTAAGAGTTATCAACAGAAAAATTGATTTTTATTTGGGACACCCTCTATATTTTTAATTAACTGAAAAGAATTTAAAATTGCCACTTTCCAAAAATATAGCACACTTGATATTTTGTTATAATCCCCTTCGAAATACAGAATTTTTAAAAGTTCGCCACTTTTAACTAGTAGGCTCTGGATCCCTTATTGATGATATGCCCTTAATGGAACTCGAAAACATATTTTTCCAGCAAGACGACGCACCGCCTTAGAACGCTGAAGTTATCAGCAAATTTTTGCAGCCAATTTCAATAATAATTAATAAATAGTTAACCAAGATCCCAGCCGTCGAGGCCGCCTGACTTAGTGCCCATGGATCTAATCCTATGGATATATTTTCGGAAGAATAAAGGTTCCTTATTCTTCCGTATAATCTAGACAAGAATTAGAAATACTTAGCAGTTATGAGAGGGTATCTTTCAACCCAACTGAGTTAATGAATTCCGCGAGAAATGTTCAAAAAGTGCCCCGTCTTTCCATAACAGAAGACGGTCGATATGTCAAACACCTGTAGCAAAATTTCATGTCTTGATTTGCTATTTATTTTTATTGTTATTAGATATAGTTTAAATGTGTTGATGTTGGTTAAATATATTTTAAATTGTTATAAAATTCTGCATCTCTCATAGCAAATATTATTTTCGTTTTGCATTACAGCCGGTGCCGTTCAAAGCCTATATACTTATTTAAAGCGGGCGAATTTTTATATACTCTATATCTCGAAGAGGAATCGAGCATAATATCAAGTGTGTTATATTTTTGGAAAGGTAATTTTAAATTCTTTTCAATAAATTAAAAATATTCATGGTGTCCCATAAAAGAAATCAAATTTTGTGTTGATAATTCTTAAATTATTAGTTTAAAAAAAATATACTTAAACCATTAAATTCTACGTAAAAAGGTGCTTTGGAAATGTTTTCATAAAAATACAAAATTTTCCATAGCAAAAAAGTTACAGCGATTTGTTAAAAATGCATATTTTTGAAAAACACCCCGTAACTCCGAAACAGTAAGAGATATCGATATGCGGTTTTCACCATCATGTTTTTGACAAAAATTGAGCTCCAGACACCGATATTAGTTTTTGTCTATCTACTATATAAAAGGGTGTTTCCATTTAAAAGCGTCGAATTTGACCCACCCTGTACACCTTTTGGTCATATTTAAAGTGTTATAAATATTAATTAGTTTTCATTCTTTGATAGATTTTTGTTATTAATTTTGATTAACGTCATATTTCTTTGCTGCTTTAAAATGCTAAAGAAGCACAAAATGTATAATCCCTTTTTTCGTAGCATTGAACTAAATAAAGTATGTGCTTTAAAAATAAAATAAATTATTAATTATTAAAATATAATAAATAATAATAATATAATTTATTTAATTAAATTACTTAATAAATTAAAATTTTATTATATTTTATTTTTAACTTTGAGATGTTCTGGTGCTTCCTCATTTTCCTCACAGAATCAGTATTCGCCGTTGTTGCGTTGAGGAAGTGTTCTGTTAAACTCCGTGACAATCCAAAGATTGTTCTTACATAAATCAAGGAAAATCTTCGATTTTTCTCGATCGTAAGTCCTGAGAAATATCTATCTTAGACCGTTGAAGGATTCTCATTCCATGTTACGAATATACTCTTCCAGGTTCTTGAGTACCGCTTTAAGTTTGTTTCTACTTGGGAACCAGAACGGTTCTGGTCCAGTTTTTGTATCGATGTCGTTTGCCTCCTAACAGTCCTAACATGGTCCTAACCCTTGATGGGCTGTGGGCTGGCACCCAGAGTATGAGGACTTTTTTATGATACTACCATAGAAACACGTTTTGGTTTTTGTGACTTAGGACTGCGAAAAAAATTCAAATATAATTTCATTGTTTTTATATTCTTCTTAGCAATTGTGAAATAAGCAAAAACTTTTATAATAACTTTTCTTCTCTTAAATCTTTTTTTCTTTATAAAGATCATCAGGGTATCATACTGTATATTGTATATTACTATACAATAATTAAACATAATATGTCGACTTTTAAATTATGAAAACTAATGAAAACTCATAAAAAATCTATTAGAATAATTTTCTAGAAAGTTTTCGTTAACTTATATTATATTATCATTATTTTACAATGTTATCTTCTGTTGTTTCAGTGTCAATCAGCGTTTTATCGAGATTGTGATATTATTCCAGATAACATCGCTGCATCTCTCTGGAATATCCGACTTTCCTGCACCTCGAATCGATCGCAATGTGCGCGTTAACCTGAGTGTACCACAGGACTTGCGCCAGTTTAGGCTTCCGGCTGTTTCCACCAATGGTGGGATATGCTCTAACTACTTTTTGAATATTAAATTATAGATATTGTCGCGACCTAGCTTGGGGGTTGTTTGCTAGTATCGCTTATACCAGGTTCTCTCTTTTAATCAAAACAACCATTAGAAAAATATACATTTATTAAATAAAAGTATACATACAGTGTGGATAAAAATATTAGGAGAGCAATTTCAGGAAATGTCAAAACTTGCTAAGGGTATGCTGAAAGGAGTACTTACAGGAACATCTTCAAAGTCTTCACTGTCTTCTGGACACTTCTGGAACTGACTGACCTCTTCAGCATATACTCTTTTTATATTTCCTATCCCTCGTGGTCATCGCTGGTTACGTCGTTTTTGTCGAGATTTTTGTCGACCATGAGGAAATCAAACTTCGGTGACCTGTGTTTGATTATCGACCAAGGATTAAATTGGTAATTAGTGTTATTAGTTTTAGTTAGAGTTAGTTATGCCGCTTGGATTTGGTAGCATGTCAAAGAAGGAAACTGATCATCTTTCTACTTTTGATATTTTAAATACGATTAGATATATACATTAGGAGGTTTTATACCAAATGAATCTAGAATTAGCAAGCGAAGCCAAATATATATCATTTAAATTAAATATATGTCCCATTTAAAAAAAATGCTTCACACTGAGACTTCACCCTGACGATTATATTTTCCGAGAATACATCTAAGTGAGCAGTTAAGGTTTACACTTAAATGAACTTCAGAAGTCCTTTCTTAGAGGACCATGATTGATGTGATATCTTAATTCGTCGATAGAATAGATTCTGTATTAGGCGTCAAAAAAAACATAATAATAGAATAAGCTTGTTTTAGACATTGTGAATAACCGTAAATTCTTAGCTTAGTGAACGCTTATTATTAGTAATACTGGAACAGAGAGAGATACAAACATCTACATTAATTGATACCATTAATTTATTCTATGAATTTCGAGGTTCTGAATGAAGCTTTAATCCACAGTTGTTCCTATTTGTATCAAAAAGTTAAAGGTTGATTTGGCTTTGTTTAACTTTTTATTAAACTGATCTCTTTTTAAATGCCCTATTTTAAATAAGTCTCGGTCCCGGTTACAGTCATTCTAGTCTAAAAATCAGGCCCGAGATCTGCCACGGCCAAGACTGCTCACGATCGTCAAATTAGCATATTTTTATCGCTCCATCTATCGATGAGATAAATGAAAAACTCGTCCAAAGTAAAAAAAAAGAATAGGTCGGATATAGAATGAGTGA